AAAAAATTTCCGGTGACTTTGACCGCGAAAATGAGGGCCATAGAGTGAGATTTTTCAATGTTTTAAAGCTTGAACTTATAGCCCTGGATGTTTTGAACATTTTCGGTTACTATGACTAAACCTAATTTTAACTCTAAAACCAAGTTTGAAGTCATTTTGCAAAAACGGACAATCTGTCCAACACAGTTTCAAAAAAAACTGGCAGCCACCAATTCAGCCAAACGGGACCCTTAAAGGCTGAATTTTGATTTTTCACAAAAGTGACAATTTTAGTTTTCGACGAGAGGAAGAAATTTAACGAAGAAAAGATTTTCAAAATCCGACCCTAAGAGGTACTAAAACACAGATTTCCGAAACGGTACAGTTTTTTACTGAAACAGTTTAAAACAAAACAACAGCTACGGTTTTCAGCCAAACGAGGCCTTTAGAGGCCGAATTTCAATCTTCACCAAAAACGACAATTTTAGATCTCGACGAGACGAGAAATTGTCGCGAAGAACAAAATTTTGAAATCCGACTCTAAGATACAGTAAAACGTAGATTTCAGAAACTGCACAGTTTTTAACGAGACAAAACTAAAACAGTGGCGGTTTCAACAAAAGTCATAAAAGAACCCGAGATAGAATTTTAGTAAAATACAATGACATTAAACCTCATTTTAATGAAAGTATTCATAAAGGAATTTTTCAAGGAAAAAATGATTTCTTTAAAGAACGTAGAGGTTTACCGAGCGAATTATCCCGACGGGTACCTACGAGCCCAATACGATAGGTCCGTAGAATTTCGAATATTTAATGTGGGTCCAACGCCCACATTAGTTTAAGAGACTCCGTTGGAGTATAAATTTCAGCGGCGTAAAAGTTAGAATGCCATGTATAAGTCCTAGGCCGAATTGGGCCTTAATATCATACCAAGGGAAATTTAGAAAAATAAGATTTTGAAGATTTAATAAATTAATCTTTATTATCCTTTAGTAAAGGAAAGGAATATATGCCTTATGGAAATGGTTAGATTTTCCTTCATAAGTTGCTAAAATAAAATAGCAAATAATAGTTAATCTCACACTCTTAATGGGTGTTCAGTTTCAGAAGAAAGCAAGAGACTAGGCTGATAGGCGAAAAAGGGATTCCAGCTTTGAAAATCAAGTAAGTAGGAATCTCGCCTACAGTATAAATAGATTTTAAAGTAAACAGTACACATGAACTATATATGTTTGAGTACATTTAATGTTATGAATGCTATGCTATGTTATACTACATACACTTA